TCCGCCAAATTTCCTGTTCCTAGTAAGCTTTATCCACTATCTCACAGAAGCACGCCTCAAAGGGATAATACCCAGTGGAAATAAATCGTAAGGAGAATCAGAGGTAGAAATCACTGACAGAAAAGCATCACAGACAGTCTCTGGCCTCCTTAAACATTACTTACAAGAGCCGTCAGCAAAACCCCATCCCCGGGGACCATTACTTTGAGGGAACTCTGCCAATCGAAGCATTACTTGGAAGGCACATTTTTTTATGTTCTTCAAATGCTCACTGTCAAAGTAAACCTCAGTTCTGAAAGATTTCAAACACATCCAAGTTTGGGGAAGTAAATATACTCCCCAATTCAAGTGTGGCCTGAGGGCCAGGTAAGCAAACGCCATTCTTTTCCTAGCTTAAGTGCTAACTTTCATTTGTCAGAGCAGCCAGGTAAAATGAATTTATACTACAGGGTTTGGATTCTGATGGCTACAGAGGCCTTTATAAAGCTAGAACTCTATTTTCAGCTGTCTTCCCTTGTGCAGGGTCAGGAGGAGAATTTCAATGTCTCTAAATAATTTTGAAAACTTTTCACCCAGGGCCAAGATGGCAAGTGACATATGATAAAAACTTAAGGGCCACATCTCATTTGTTTCAAAGTCTGTCCTCCAACACCTAGAACCCCCACTGACTTCACAAAGAAAACACCTTGCACAATAGTGGCCCATGTGGGAAGCAAGGAACTAGAAATGACCCACAGTTCCTGAAGGAGTTATCAATAGACCAGATAATCAGTGTCATTATTGTCACTGGATGACATTAAATCCTTTGCTCTTGGTTGATGATCATATATCATGATTCTCCTTCTTTTAGGAATTTCACTGCTGGAAAAATTCTGGAAACCATCTTGAGAAATGGTGGAAAATATTTACTTTTCAGTTAGAATTGCTTTTTTATGTACTTACTATCAAAAATTATAAACAAAAAGTTGTATGAACCAACCATGGAGGATTTGGGCAATACGAATGCTTATCATGAGAAAAACCTAACTATAAAATTTAACAAGGTGTTTACAGGTAGGTCCAGAGCCACAATATAAATATCCAGTCACATATCAAACCTGGGATTTAGACTATATCAGAAACATTTTTATACTTCTATTCTGGCCAAACACCTGCTATTTACTTCCTTCATGATTTATTTATTAATTAACTAAACTCATTTTCTTGTGGTAGGAGTAATAGACAGGTATGCTAGAGACAAAGTATATTTTGAGTTTATCAAGACATTTTTAACAAATTTCTTTTGATAACTTTGCAATGAACTTGGAAGAATAGGGTTTTGCAGTTACTGTACACAAAAACTGAGCAACTGATCTCCAAGATGGAAGAAGGTTTCTAGAGACGTGGTGGGAAGATCTGTCCTTGCCCTGCATCAGAGTGACATGTCAGGAGCAGACACAATTGAATCCAAATAAAGAAGCAGGCTCTCAGTCTATAAAGAAGCAGCCTCCCAGTCTATAAAGAGGATGGATTCTGGAATTATGGAAATCAGTTTGAATTCTGGCTCCCTACTTATTACGCATGTAATTTGGGGCTAATAATTTAGAGTCCCTGGGTTTCAACTTCCTTATCTGTATAATCATTTTTGTAAGAAAAAAAAAGGATATATATATATAAATTTTATTTTTCTAGGCACATAGAAAGTGCTGGAAAAGGGGTACTCACTATCAGATCTGCAGATGGTCCAAAGCTGGGGGTAGGGGTGTGTATCATAGAATTAAGGCTCAAAACTATACTGGTATAATAGAAAGGTGAGCTAAGATGGTAATGAATATTATAGCAGGAAGAAAAATAAAATCCTATAGTTAAAGTATTATTCTTTTTCCTTTTGGTTTTAAGTTCAGTTGTAGCAGCATGGAATGGAGAGCTTAGGTGAAAATTTCTGAAGGTTTGAATTACAAGGAACTTACTACGGAGACAATAGCAAGACATGGATGCTGAATTATTAGATGTAACCTTGAACTAGGAAGCACATGTGGTGTATAAACCAAGGGAATTATCTAGCCAAATGCACTCTGCCATGGCCATATCCTGTCTGCAGCACCGTGTTCAGTTCTGGACACTGTATTTTCAGAAGAATATTTACAAAATATAGTATACCCTGAAAAGGAAATCAAAATGGTAAACAGATCATACAAGAAAGGGATGAAGAAGTTAGGAATAATAAGGCTAAAAAAGAGAATTTTAGGGAGAATGTGATAATTGCCCTTAAACATATATAGGGCAGTAAAAATCAAAGAGTAACAGTAATTAATATGTATTGAATACTTATTATGTGCAAAGTAGTCACTGTTATCACAATTTGCAGATGAGAAAACTGAGGCACAGAGGCCAAGTTACATGGTGATAGTCACAAAATTTGTCAGGGATGAGCCAGATTTCACCCCAGTAGTCCATCCCCAGATCTGGAAGAAATATTAAAGTTATTTTCCAAATATATACTTCTAATCTCTGTCTTACAGGATCACAGTAAGATTGCACTCTCCTAGTTTTTCTGAAGTTGGGCATGAACTTCAGATGATATGCTCTGGCCAATAAAATGGGAGCATAAGGCGTGTTCGTGACTTCGCTGTGGGAGTTTAAGAGTCTGTGAGCAGTTTGCCACACGCTCTTCCCACCGTGACTGTGTGGTCATGGAAATTCCATCAATCAAGGACTTTGAGGGGCAATGATGAACACAGCTGCCCTGCTGACTCATTGTTTGAATAAGGCATTGAAATTTGGGGATTGCTTGTTACTGTGGCGTTATCCAGCCTTTTCTGACAGATACACTAGTCTACATGCTTCAAATTATTAAAATATTTCAGAATAAGGGAACACATTTATTCTTATATTTCAAAAGGTCGGAACTACAAATAGCTTGTAGAAATGACAGGTAGGCCAATTAAGGCTTAATTTATGTTTTTTTTTAAGTAAAGTTGTCTAAAAGTTGTTTCCTGAGATAGAGAGGTCCCTGAAAATGACAGCAGTTAAACAGAACCCAGATGATCATACTGCATCTATGTAGCAATATATATGGCTTAATTAAGGAAGTTTAATGTATCAAACATTTATGGAGCGCCTCCAATGTGCCAGGCACAAGGATGAATCCAAACACACAATCTCTACCCTCAAGGAAATAATCAGCAAGTATAGAAGTAGATAACCTATGCTATCTCTTTTAACAGTGTGATTCAACGAAACTAGAGATAATAACATGGCCTGGATGAAGTCAACAGCAAGCCTGAACCTACAAATAACCATGTAGCTCCAGAAATCTGCTGATGCTTAGGTTGTATTATTATTTTTCAATTAGGATCCAAAAGTATAGGGTAGACAAAAGGAAGGAAAATGAGAGAATTGTTGGGTTTAAAGAAGGAACATTTTCCCTTTCTCTAGTTACCATTCTTACATCTTGCAAACCAGGCATATTATCTGGCTTACATCAGGGGTGTTTCAGCAAAGGGAACGGCACTGACTCACAGCAATTTCTACTGACCTTTTCTATCCCTCCTTCCACCTCTTAAGAGTCAGGAAGGGAACATTTCAACACTGATCAACTCAGGCCTGAAGAGAGGCAATCACCATCCTATAGGGCCATTCTTCAGTTGAGAAATCAGCCAAACTCTTCCCTAAAGATTTGAAGTTTTTCCTAAAAGTGTATTTGAGCAGGGTCTAGAGGAACCCCATATTCTAAAGATGAGGTGAAAATCACACACTAAGTGATTCCAAGGGACACTGGTGCTGCTTTCCAATGGCACTTTTAAACAGGACTTGCTTTCCCCTGGTAGTATCAATAGTTAAAGGTTTGTTTGTTTTTTTAAAACGTCCAAAAATCAAACAGTGGAGAGAGATGTGTTGTCCTTTCCCTGGCTCTCTGCATTTTAATGGAAAAACATCCACAACTTGGGTAAGCTTTAACTGTAATTGCTCTGAGGCAGACATTTTCATTTCAGGTTATTATTCATAATAGTATTAGTGCAGAATAATATATGTGGCTGGATTTTGCAGCCAGTTATCAAGACAAGGGTGACATATCTGATTACTATTGTCCTCAACGTCAAAAGCATCAGTTTGAACTTTTGAGTACTCCAGCCCTGCCTAGGCCCCAAATTTTTTGAACTAGGGTTCTGACTTTCTATAAGATAAACCAAATAAATCAGGGCAAGCTGGATTTCAATGCCATACCTTCAGTTATTTAGTGTGACAGGAGTTCCTTGAAAATACAAAGACAAGAAATTGGCTTTGGTCCATGTAAGAAAACAGTCAACTTGCAGCTTGTGCTAGCTTAATGTGCACCCATAACACTGTCATCTATTTTCAAAAACACAAGGATACTCTCCCAGAGACAGCTGGAATCCTGTGGTACCCAGGCCTGGGTCAAGCTCCGTAAACAAATACACACCTTAAAACACAGAGATGAAATGTCGATCTAGGGCACATGCAAGACCCGGAGATAGTTTAGTCTAGTGGCTCCACACCGAAAAGTTTCAGGGACAGAGCTGATGTTTGAAAAGTGAGCCGGGAGGCCGCCCATCCTGTACTTTCATCCGGGCACTATGGAGATGACCCCATTTTCCCAGCCCCAGTTTGTCCTCTGCCCTGGTGACTCGGGTGAAGATTACATCTAGGGTCAGAGAGGAGGTCAAGACAATTGTGTCTGGTTCCTCCGACGAGAGAAGGGCTGGAAAATCACTACGCCTTCCTGGACTGGTCCGGCTGACACACCCACCCAGAACCAATGGCCCAGGGTTGCGGCAGGGAGGCAGGGGGACCCGCGAGCAGAGATGCTGCCATGGGGGGCACGCGTGAATCCAGGTCCAGGATAGGGGGTCACGGTACACTCGGCGGAGGATGCCCTTGTGCTCCTCCTAGCACCCCAGCCCCATGCAAAGTGAGCAAAAGAAAGTTGTGCCGGGCCATGGCGCCCCCGGCCGAGCGGCGAGCGAGGGCAGGCGGAGAAGAGACCCAGGCCCCCTTACCTTGTCCTTGGGACCAAGGTTCTGCAAAACCTCCTTGCCGGTGGCGCTTCGGATCTCTACCCCAGCGGGCGCGGGCGACGCGGGCGCGGGATCCCTGCTCTCCTCCCGGCCTTGGCCCCTGCGCGGGGGATCCCCCTCCAGCCCCGGTCGGCTCCCCGAGCCGTGGACGCTGCTCTGGCTGCTTCGGGGTGTCTTGGCGCCCCGCTGCCCCACGCTCAGGGCATCGAAATCCAGCGTCTTGCTCTCGAAGGCGCCCTCCACGTTGCAGAACATGCCTCCGTACTTCTGCCGCGGGACCTGGTCTGTGGTGCCCGGCCTGGCTAGGTACACGGGCAGATCGTCTTCGTGGGAGCTGTCCCAGCCTCTCCGGCCCGAGGCCATGGTTGCAGCGCGACAGCGGCCCGCGGGTTTTCTTCCCCAGAGGCGGAAAGGGCAGCTGCCGGCGGCGTGCGCGGAGCCACAGTGACTGGGGCGGGAGGAGGCGCCTGAGCCTTCGCGCCAGAGGCGGCAGTGCTGCTCCGGTTCCTGCCAGTCCCCGGCCAGCCAGCCAGCGCGGCGCAGCGCTCTGCTTCCCGGACCCCAAGCCGGTCCGCCCGGCCGTCCCTCCTCGCGCACACCGACCCTAAGTTGGCCTCACAGGCTTACGCGTCCTTGTTCCCCATAGAAAGCAGAAATCCCAACTTGACGCGCGCGCACACGCAAGCACACACACACACACACACACACACACACACACACACACACACACACACACACACACACACACTTCCCGCTCTCCCAACGAGCCTGATTCACACTCCAGAACTTGCATGGAAACCTTGCTTTCCCCACACCAGCTCTGGAGTTTGCCTCACAAACACAAGACTTTCTGCCCTGCGTGTGCACTTACACCTAGTTGGCTCAGGGGTGTTGGTTTACAACCACACACACACCCACAAACTCAGATTTATCAGACTCACAATCCTAGACTTCGCTTACCCATAATCCCGACAAGTCTCATCCTAATTTTAGAATTCTAGAATTCCCAGTTCTAGAATCTGCCTCAGGAAACCTGCACTCTCAAATAAAGAACTCCTGAATTGGGGG